GTCAGCTACCTAGATGCATGTGCCACAGGGGCCATGTATCTGGTTGTCGACGTTGCCACTCAAGCCGTCATTTACAGTAAGTGTTAAATGGGGGTATTCGGCAGAGTAAATCATCATTGCAACAACAAAACGCGAGAGAAAGAGAAGGACTTACTTCGGGAACGTGTGAGTCAGCGGATACACGTTCGCGATCCTGAATTACTGCTGGTGGCGGCAATTTCTGCTTTTGGTTGTCATCATGTCGATGTGCTGCCTCTATACAGAGACGAGTGGAGTGCAGTACATTGGTCGATGTGTCGCATCGCGGTCAAGACCGAGCCAGCCTCCTGCATTGTCAGTCACAGCCAAGACATGTACGACAGGTAGCAAACAGAAGAGTGGGAAGCCTCAGAGTATGATACATGATAATGACCTCATGGGTTGTCGGAAGAGATGCTTAGTCGGTTGCTCATCATTGGCCAAGTCTTGGATGAAATGTCGCACGCTTACCTCGGAGAAGACGGCCCTTGCAGTGGAGGCGTGTGGGTAGGAAGGCCTTGGACAAACTTACTAGCATTGTCGCCAATAGCCTTGCCATCAAGGCCGGTGCTTCAGGAGCCTGTTGCTTGTCAGTACAGAAGCAATATCAGAGTCTCAAAGATCATGGAAAGAGAAGGAAAGATCAGAACTTTCGTTGTTCTCATGGATATTCGAAACGAGCGAGACGTGCTTAGAAAGTATCATCACGAAGATGAACAAAGTGGGAAGAGGTATAAAGACTTACTCAACTGTCGCGGAATTGGGTCGCGAATGTGTCGACCATCCAGTCATGCCAACGTCTACATGCGTGGTCAGCGGAGTCTACCAACACAGTACGAGTTACAGAGTGGAAGCGTGATCTTCAGAACAGTTGAATGTCGCCATCGGAACTGACGAGCGTGCGTCGTCCGGTCTGAACCTTACTCTTTGATCATCATGAGGGGAGGTGGGCAAGTAACATGAACGACTGCGCACTTACCTTTGTTGGAGATGTTCTCGACTAGGGTACCATGTTAAAGTTCATGGAGTTGTACACCTGGTGACCTGGGTGACCTGGATGACCTGAATGACCTGGGTGGAATGGCATCCGTGGTGGTTGTGCGAGAGTGGAGGAAGCGTACAAATTCATGCTATTTGGGTACGATGGCAGAGCTGCCTGCACCTCAATGTCAGCAAAACGAAGCCCGAACATCGGTCAAGAAAAGCCAAAGAGAACCCTCAGCGATAGGTTTCGACAGCGAATGTTCGGTGATTGGAATGAGTGTTGATGTATCATCATCGGGTACTTGGTACATGCGCAAGAGTTGGAATAGATAAGGGATGCGTACCGAGGATGACATGATGATGCGACCTACCAACCTACTGCGAGGTCGGCAACTCCGACAAGTCGTTATCGTCCGCGGACTCGTCGGGAAAACCTACTAAAGTGTTAACGGTCATGCTCATCAAAGTTCTTGAAGAGGCTGTCATCGTCTGAGAAGATGTATGAGAGCGACAAACCACACGCGGCACTCGCGGGGAGGAGCTAGCTCGCCATGGACCAGTCACGCATCGACCTGCAGATTTTGAAAATACTGCTCCTTCCTTGCCCAAGAGCAAATCGACCGAGTCGACTGGTAGTTGTAGTTTAAGAACAGATATTTGTCGAGAGCTTGTGCAGGTCTTTGGTTGATCTCGGCACGTGGGTGTACGAGTAAGGATATGGAAGATCGATCCTCCTACACCCTGCGCCTGCAGGGGGATATGAAGAGATGGAAGAGAAGAAGATGGCGCGGCGGACTTACCCAAGTCTGATAAAACCATGATGCCTGCGGCTGGTGCGCTCCAGGAACCCTACGATTGAGTCAGCCAACATCCTCGCTCGTACTCAAATTGGAGACAGGTTGTCGGAATGTACGAGCATGACAACCTATAGGCACATTTGCCGACGAGGGCAGTGCGAATGGAACAGTCATGCGTCGCTACACAATGCTTGAACGGGTAGCTTCTCTTTGTTTGTGGGTGTGTACTCCCTCGCCAGGGTACTGATTCGTCATGCTTAATCTTCGTATCAAAGGTTTTTCCCACGTTCAAGACTGACGTGTGTGAACTTGCTCTCGGCGCGCTGGATCTCCGAATCACCGGAGGGTCATGCGAGAGAAGGGTATGGAAGACCCCTCCTCACTCACCCGGCGCCTGGGTCTGATATGGAATCGGGGAGTAGGAGAGGAGTCGAACGTTACCTGATGGAGCTAAGCTGAGGACTTTGGTGGTCTCGTGGTGACGTCAAAGGAGTAAGACGGGTTGCGAAGGTCGATGCCGATGCCGAATCTAGAAAAGGTGTCAGCTTACTCAAGGTCGGTAGCCTTTCGACAGCAGGACAACGACAAGATTGCGAAAGCGACGAAATGTACGAGCTTGACAACCATCCAGGCCGTACCGGTAGATGGCTACCACGGCGAGGGGAACAGTCAAGGGTCGATGCGGTCATTTGCCCCCCTCCGCGATCATGGATCGCTACGACCTCCCTGCCATCAGAGATTGGCGACGGTATCTGATCGTCATTCCACCTTGTCTCTGGGCTCGAGACGCGCTGCTCCAGCAGCGCCCAACAAGGACCAACAAACTCTCTCACCGCGTCATGGCTTCAATATAGGCCCCGGGAAGAAGGATGCGGTATGAAGAACCACAACCCAGGATGCGGGGCCAGATGCTCACCCAACGTGTCGGTAGGTATGGTCTGAGGCAGAAGGAAGACAGACTTACCTAGGGTTGTGACATGTTCTTACTGTCCGTGTGGGCGGCGCGTCAATGTATGATAGGCGATTCGGGTGTGGATGACCATCGAACGGCCCGGCCAGGGAGAGCAGACTCGGAAGGTGGAAGGTACCTGCGAGCACATCCGTCAGTTGATGTACTTGAGTTGTTGGAAGAGAAAGAGAAGGACCCAGTACAAGAGTAAAGACTTGGCAAAGACTTGCCTGAGGCCTAAGGTCACATGGGTCTTGTGCGCATGAGGTAGGAAAGGGGAGTTGCGACTCGGTGACAGCCGAATCGCTCAGCGCCGATGAGGTGGACGTTGCTCACGCCACTCTAACTGGAGCATACTTGAGGGGAGACCGACTAGATCATCATGGACTCGCTTGATGCGGCGGTCATGGCGGAGGTCGCGCATGTCCGGGCAAGGCCTGCCAGCATCGCCGGTGAGGTTGGCGGCATCATCGCTACGAATGCTTGTCAGTCTCAGTGTGCGCATGGCGAAGACCATGGTAGTCAACAAGGACATGCCAGAGTGTGTTGTTGGCGGACATAGTCGCCGCCGCCGTCGCCGCGGAGGCAAGCAGCGGAGGTCAACAGCCAGGAGCTGAGCAGCGACATCTCACCTGGATCTCTTGCCGCTGCTTACTGGGGATGGGAAGGGATCTCACTTACTGTTCAAGGCCTTGTAGCCTTCTGGTGAGACTGTTGTGGCTGCCGCCGCCTGAGGCGGGGTAGAGTTTGCCGGCTACAAGGTCAACAACAGGGCGTCGATCTCGACAGCACCACTTCGTACGACGGTACAGTAAGCTGGAGCTGGCTCTTTGTACCTTTGGCCAGCTTCTCGCCAACTCTAGTGGTGTTTGAGAGCGGCGTGGTTGTGGGCAAGACTTGGAGCGATTTGGGACTCCCGCATCGCCGCCATCGTCAAGGCGCCGCAAAGGCTCAAGACGGGCATGGAACGAGAGAGAAAGTATGGGCAAGGTGCAAGGAGACCTTTGAGATGCGCACCAGCCTTGCAGAAGAAGGTTGTGGGTGGCCGTGATTTGGTGGTGTGGGTGGCAAAGGGGAGCTTGAAAAGGCCTGACAACATAACAAACCTTAGCGCCAAAAGCCTCCAGCGGCAGCACCGACCACCCTCCATCACTTGGTGAAGCACGTTCCAGGCGTTGATGGCTCCCCAGAGAGCGGCTGCACTTGTGCGAGCAGGCCAAGCTTGACATGATACAGGCTATATTGTACTCGCATTAGGTCTGCTACTTAGATCTACAGAACCCTCGCCATGTTGGACTTTACTCCTTTTCCCTCGTTTCCCTTGTAAAGACTACTCGCGAAAAGATCCTCCGCACGACGCTGTCTCCCCTCCGCGTACCTCGAGACACACAACGCACACACGAACGACTCGAGCGGGACCCGATGTCGAGGACCGCAACGATCTTCGAGAGTGAACGATCTCCTCCCCCGAGCGCTTCGTCCACAAACCCTACTGCGCTTCGTCTCGACAATGCAGCTAGTCTAGCTCCTGGCGGAAGCGATCGTTATAGCCATCGCCGAATGCGGTGCCGTTCCTGCCTACACCACCGCGTTAGCTCAGTTCGATACAAGTTCATAGCAAGCGTCCTTACTCTGGCTCCTAGTAAGACGGGTCGAGGATCGACGGGTCGGACCACCAGTGGATATTTGCGATGAAGGCTGGCCACGCGGGGAGTACGCACCACTAGAAGACGGAGCCTGACGGGTGACACGGCCACGCACACGGGAGGAAGCGACAGGAGTCTTTGATCGGGACGAAGTTGAAGCACTTGCCTGCCCATACAGCAGAGTCTTTTGTGCCTTCGGGCGCGAAGTCGAGGCTGACTTCACAGAAGCATACGGAGATTTCCCAGGGAGATCAGTAGAGGAGTTCAACGGGCGCGACTGAGATCTGGTCCGCTGCTTCTTTGAAGCCGATTCCTTCTCCGCCAAGTCACTGGTACTCTTGCGCTTTTCGGTGTAACCCTGCTTTGTGGGATGCGTCACGCCGTGCTGTGATCCGGGTTGGGCAGAGCGTCGAGGATCATACTGGTTGTTGGTCTGCTGTGACGAAGGTCTAGTCTGATCTCTAGGATCTAAAGCATTTGTGCCGCTACCGCCGAGCACATCCAGAGGTTTTCCGTACGTAGTATGTCGGGTGGAGCCTCCGCGCTCTTCCGTATGCATACCAGTACCAGACTGAGAGTATCTGAAGCTATTACCAGGAGGTGGCATCATTCGCGACGCTGTGTTGGCTTGCGATCGTGGTCGTCCGGATGATCGAGATGAGTGAGAGCCAGCCACAGATACGTTGTCGGCTGACGGCGTTGCTTTTGCATTTGCGTGGGCTGAGGCATGATTGGAAGAACCACGAACGTAACCACGAAGCATAGCACCTGAAGCAGGCTGGGTCTCATCCAGCGCTGCTAAGTCGTCGAGAGATATGCTACTCAAATTCAACGAGCTTGAGACTTGGCGATTGGGATCTTGCTGTGACGGTCGGAACATGCTGAATATATCCTGCGAGATAGATGCACTTCCAAGATCCTGAGTTTCTGTAGCCGTCCCAGGTTCGTGATCAATGCTGTCTGCGTTATTGGGGGTTTCATGAGTGTGATGTTGTGTTGCAAACAAGTCGTCATCGTCAAGCTGAGTCTGTGAGAACTCGGCGTCCAAGGCCCATGATGGCTTCTCAAAGTGAGGACTCTGACCATGAAGACCGTCGAGCACCGAGTGATTTTGTCGTTGAAGTTTCTTCCGGGGCTTCGCTGCCTGTACAGCATCGCGTGGATCCTGTAATACACTCTTGCCACCCTGTACTTGGGAGCCGTCTTGTTGATTGCGGCGAACCTTTTCGCGTTCAGCCTTGATCACATCCTGATATTGTCGTTCGAGTCTCTGCATGTTTGACTCTGCCTGTTCGCGATCAGCTGCTAGCTTGGCTTTGAACTGGTCTGCCGCGAGCCGTAAATCCGCTTCTGCTTTTTCCAATGCAGCGTCTTTCTCGGTCAGACGACGGTTCCAGTCATCAATCACGGTGCGATGTTGCTCATTCAGCTTCTCGCGCTCTTGATCGGCATCTTTTTGGCATCGAGATTCGTCTGCTTCCTTTGCAGCGCGTAGTTCGGCTACGTCTTGTCGCAGTTTGCCCTCATTGGTCCGGGCTTGCTGAACTTTGGACGACACATCCTTCTTTTCCTCCTGAAGTTTAGAGATCTGATTGTGTAAAAGTTGGAGCGTATTGCTTGCATCTTGTTGTACTTTGCCAAGTGTAGCATCAGCCTCTTCGCGCATAGTTTGCATCGTCGTACGTTGTTCGACTGCTTGGGCTTGTGATTTATCGAGCAGACCTTGCAGCTCAGAGATCTTCTCGACGTTCTCCTCGCAACGGCGACTCAACTCAGCATGGCCCCTACCCTTGGTGTGAAGCTCTTCGGTCGTCTGTCGTAGCTGCTCTTGGATGTTTGTCGTTTCCAACGCCTTCGATTCAAGTGTACGGATCTTGTCCTCTAGCTCATCGATCTGGTTATCCGCGGCGTCCAAATTGAAGCTCACTTCCTCATGTGCGTTTTCTTTCTCGTCGCGTTCAGTTGTGAGTCGGTCGATTTCGCTCTTCAAGTTGCGTTCTTTCTCCATGAATCTACTCTCGCAGTCTTTGACGATCTCCTCTTGTATGGCGACGTCGTCTTCAACCTATTAACAGAATTAGTGAGGCCATGAGACGGGATGGTGGTTCCTACCCTATGCTTCTGCTGCAATTCCTGTAGCTGCGTCTTGAGATCATCGGAGTGGCTCTGTCATTCGTCAAAAAAAGACGCAGTAGGCAGGAGATTGACGCCGCTCACCTTGTACGTATCTCTTTCCTGCTCAATCGTCTCGACCTTGTTATTTGCAGCTTCCAGGTCACCCTCAACCTTCTTCAACTGTTGGCGAAGGTCAACAGCTTCTCGCTCGAACTTCTCCGTGTCGACGTGTGGGACGGGGGGAGAAACTCTCAGTTCATTCAGATCCCGTTCCAGCTGATCGGATTGGGCCCGAAGATTGGCCTCGGACTGCTGGAGCTCCTTGATTTGCTCGTTGAGTTGATGGGAATGTTGCTGCTGCTCCTCGAGCTTCACCTTAAGAGAAACGTTTAGCTCCTGCGTTTTGCGGTTCTCGGTAGTAGCCTCATCGTATCTCAGCATCGCTTCCTGAAGGCTATTCAGTCGCTCTCCGATAAAATTCCGGAGTTCCGTGTCAGGAGTTGGTTCGCTCCTTATGGTCCTGGAAAGGGTATTAAGACCTGAGTCCAATCTGTGCAACTAGTCAGCACATCAAAGATGCACAATAAGAAAGGATCATGACTTGCCGTTCGTGCACAAGACGCAACGTGCTTTCCATCTTCTCGATGTCCTTAGCTGTCAAGGCTGGCGACATCTGCAGGGTTCGCAAAGCGTCCAGACATTCTTCGATCGGGTCATTTCGATCGTCATGGGCAGGCGCCTGTTCAATCGAAGTCTGGAGTGATTCCAACTTCTTGGCCAGAGTATCAGAAGCATCGACAATCTTACCGGGAATACTCTGAACGCTTGATAGGAGCTGATTTTCCATGTGTTCGCGTTTTCTCCGCTCTTCTCCGATTTCGGCGTCCCGCTTGCCCAGATTTTCGATAAGATCTATCCTCTTTGACTCCGATATGATGAACCGCCCGTAGACATCGTCGAGCGCGGACTTCATCTTCTTTTGAGTTGCAGCAAGCTTGTCAATTGCAGTCTCGCATTCGCGGTACAACGTCTTCTTTTCATCCTCAAGCTCGGTGATCTTCTCTGTCAGTGTCACCTGGCTGTGCTTTTGGAAGCTCGCAGCAGACTTCTGCAGCTTCTCGTAGTCCTGCTGAAGGCCATGCACGAACTTCTGGTTGGTTTTGGCCTTGTCGGTGAGTTGACTGAAAGCTTCTTTCAGGCTTCGAATGCTCGCATCACGCTCTGCGATAGCCTGGACATGATCGTTGATCGTGCCCTGAAGTCCTGCAATTTCCGCTTCGCGCTGCTTAGCGACGATCATGCTTTCATGCTTGGCCCGGAATTTGTCAGCCAACATTGCCACTCTCACGCTCTCCATTGCTTGATCAACACTGAGAGACATGGCCTGCTCCTGGGGGCTGTTTGGTACCGAACCACTGGGTCGTAGCTTTCTTCGAGGTTTAGCCACACGGTGAGATGCGTCCTGGTGGGAGATTCGATGTAGAACAGCTTCGGAATCCTTTGGCAGTGGGGCAGACTGTTGACTTCTTGCACATATTTCGGGCTGCTGCAGCTGATTGGACTGGATGGCCACAGCAACCGACTCGTCATTGTCTGGGATATGGAGGCCAGAGTCCTGAGCCGGCAATGGAGTACATTCTTCGGCGGATACCAGCCCGCGATCCTGATAGTGAACATCTGCGAGCGGCTGTTGCTCGCGCTCCGTATCGTCCACTTTCGGAGGCAAAGTCGATGTCACAAACATAGAGGACGTGGGGAACTCGCGCTGAGCGGAAGAATCTGGAAATTCTTGGAAAGTCGTGTCCGGAATGGTCTGAGTGGTGTTGCAGGACTCCTCAACGTGGGCGACACACTCATGCTCTTTCACCAGCGGAGACTCCTCAACGTATGCATGCCCACTGAGGTCATTGATAGGGGCAGGTGCTTGCACTGCATGAGATTGCGATGTATGGACTGTTGCGTCGTCGGTAGCAAGGGGATTGTTGGATGTCTCGGCGACTGGTTTGCCCGTCGTCATGGCCTGTTGAGCATGCCGTGCCAGAACGTTTGATCGAGGAGGTCGTTGGCCTTCACGCTGCTGAGAGAGCTGTCCTTTTCTCCCTTTCTTGCTCTTCTTGACAACACGGGCCTTACTAGCTCCAGGAGCAGGCCTTGCGTCGGGCTGTGCGGAAGGAGGCATTTTGGACGGCGTGTCCGGTTGGGTAGGTCTACGTAAGTCAGTGGAATTCTGGGCGCTTGCTATGAGCTCTTACAAAGGATATGCAGACTCGTTCTGTGACTCTTTGGCGGCCGGCTGTTGGAAGAGAGGTACTTCCTGATCGGTAGCAGGATTTGTCTTGTGGCCATCGTCGTTGCCCGGGAAGATTGGTGGTGAGACGTACGCAGGCTCTGTTGCTACACTGGCATCTACTCGCATGTTAGTCGGATCGGTTGAAATGGCGTGATTGCTTACCCTGAGATGCATGCACAACCTGCTTGTGAACACCAGATACTGTCGACTCAGTATTAGGAACAGACCTGGCGGTGAAGGCCTTGTCCTTGGGGGATGCCTTCTTGGGGACTTGGCTCGGTTGCGAACGTGTGAAAGCGAACGTGGGTACATCTGCTGGTCCAGAGTTACTGTTCAATCCGGGTGTTTCTTTGGTGCGAGTGCTGAGAGCAAATGGAACCCAGGTTGATGTATGAATGTCCGCCTTTTTCGTTACTGCAGTGCGCTGCAACAATTCTGCAGTACCGGGACTAGTAGGCAGGTCGCTGAGGTCCGGCTCACGCTCGGGAGTGAAGTCATTACGAACGTAGTATCCGTTCTGATTCGGCTGAGTCTCAGGAACAATTGCATCGCTGTCAGGTTCTTGGGGGGCAGGCTTCTTGCGATCTCGCTCGTCATCGGTTGACTCGGGGCGTACTTCATGTCTGAGTCGCGAAGGCTTCTGCCGCTTTGGCACCTGCTTGCCTTGTCGAGGCAACTCGGCCATGGTGAGTGACAGCACTGCCAGGCGCGTTCGGACGCAAGGAAACCGTAGTGGAAACAACGCAGGCAGAAGATGAGAAGCGACGTGCTAGACGACTGCACGAATAGAAGAAGATGAAGTGTTATGGGACAAGAGTGAGGGGGCGGCGAGGTTTGCAGCGGCGTCCTGCCTTCGTTCTTTCCTCCATCGGCGCGAGGGAGTCACGGCTGAACAGAATGACGCCACACGTTCGGTCATGACAACTGAGAAAGACATCGTGGAAGGCGCAATGGAAAGATGAAGAACACCCACATCGCATGCCTACATAGAACCAGTGAAGCACCTCATCAAGGCGGACATATTTCACGCTGCAGTATGCTTTCCGAACGCATCTTCTAGATCATGCGTCAGATCCATGTCTGGCAACAGCCATTCGATCGATGGATGTCTGCATGCAGTTTGCTGAGCTTGTTGTGAAGCTCTGCAGCTGCCATTACAACCATCTGGCATGTTCCTGCTCTGTACCCCGCGCGGCCACAGGCACGTGACGGTAGACAAAGAACATTGGAAGGCAAACCTTTGAGGGGAGAGTACTTACTCCAAAGTCGTCTCATGCAGCGCACCACACTGATCATCGCGGTGCACCCCTCCGATAGCGCGCATCCACCAGAATACCCAGGTAACATCGTACGACAATCGTCCCTAGATTAGAGAAGGTCATGTCGCCTGCCATGTGATTACTTTTTTTACGTCGTCTGGTCCACTCTGCGCCGAAACGTAGGTGGCTAACGTGGACTGCACCGGAGATGAGGAGCCAGAAATACCTTGATACCACGGGCTCACCGACTACAATAAGCGGCAGCTGCTACATGTACGCCGTGAGGTGGACGATGGGAGTCGTCGCCTTGCAGGCTCCCCTGAAACGAAAGTGTGCGGCGACATAGCTAGCCGGGCGCTTCAGACCGGGGTGCGTCCAATCACATTTTACCCCTTGCTAGCTCGGCTGCATGGTGATCTTCGTTTACACAGCTACGCGCCCACTACCCAGTACGCCCTACCAATCCTTTCGGCTTATCCTTCCAAGCCGACAAAACTCGACGCCAATGCCGCTATATTAAGAGAATGGCCTGATGTACTCTCCGGCAACCAACCTGGCCTGTCGTCCAAGCGCACGATGCTAACCGCCGAGAAGCCCTGAGACTGGCGGGGTATTGGACGAGTGATGGCGAAGGTATTGGCTTGGATAAAAGATGTTCGCAGGTGGCCACGCAAATATAGAGACATGCCCTCCGTTCTGGTAGCGAGTTGTTGGTATTCCTCCAGTTGATCGAACGTCCTTCACGCCAGCCTCGTGTCACCTCATATCCGATCCATCCTCCCGTCCACGCCGCATTCCACGGCACATCGACATCATGAGCAGGCCTCTCCTCCTGTCGTTCCTCCTCCCTCTGCTCGCCCTTGCTCAGGACTCCTCCTCGGGCAGCGAGCTTCCTCCTCCCGGCTACAACGGCGGTAGCGACAACCCGCAAGACCCCAGCGATGCTGGCGCTGCGGGAACACAGAAGGGTGCTTTCTCGCTCTCGGGAGGTGCTATCGCAGCGATCATTGTGGTCGCCGTCCTAGTCGTGCTCGGATCCAGTACGTTCTGCACATCACGTCCCAGCATACTCAAGCTAACATCAACACAGTCGCATCGGGTGTACTCTGGTGGCTCGCGAAGAAGCGCCAGTGGGACGTTCGCGCATCCATTCGCCGTGCGTCTCGTCGCTTTACCGGCCGCGCGAACAACGACGCCGGCAAGCAGAACCGCGAAAACCGAAGGACAAGCATCAGACTCAACTCGCCGCCCCCGGGCAAGAACGCCAACAAAATGCGCGATATCGAGAAGGGCCTCCCTCTGTCCAACAAGGCGCCACAAACTACAACTACCATCACGAGCGTGATGAGGTGAAGCTCCGAAGGCATAGCATAGACTATCTGGAAGCAACACCAGCGCCGCTACGCGGGTCGAGGCACCCGTCGACGCGAAAGACGACGCGGAGTTTGGAACAGGACGCCTCGCAACTCTTGTCCGTCGGAACGTGCGCATGCATACCGCATCCTTCATGCGGCTTATCATAGCACGCAGGGCATGCATCTTTGGGGCGTACATGAATATTACGGTAACGACAGCACCTGGAAAGCGGTTGATGGCTGCTTAGGACTCCGGAGTATTTGCACTTTGGGCGTCATTATTTTCTTGTCAACATATTATGATACCACGCTTTTTCGGACGTATGGATAATGGACGCATCGGTCAGCGTCGATGGAGTCAAGACGTAGACCGTAGATTCCGATAGTACCCAAATACAACTATAACCACTTATTCAAAGACCTCGGTATTGTTCTCTATCTTTCGCCATGTTCGAAGTAAAAGCTTCGAGCCCGGGAATACTGGAATAAGAGCCTGGAGCCCGGCAATACCAAGGCCTATTACGAGACCACGCCAAGTCAGCGACCGCCCATCTGACCACCAGCGCTTGGCCAAACGTCCAGGAATAGCCCGTCACTTGGCCATCGCTTGGAGGTTTCTTGGAGAAAGCTTGGGCAAATGCCCAGGAATAGCTTGGAGAAAGCTTGGGAAAGGCTTGGGAAAGGCACGGTATATGCAGAGATGATCTGACCCTGATCCTACTATCCCGGTGCTGTGGTGTGCTCCCGGCTGGGCACCCAGTTTTATCTGCCGGCTTTGCATGACTGCCGTAGGTCTGACCCAGGATTAGAAGAACGGTAATGGTGCAGGGTTATGTGACCAGATCGCTTCGTGCAGTTAATTTCCGAGAATAGTTCGCTGTGCCGCAGAGCTACATCGCGGAAGCACCTTACAGGAAACAACTAAACAGATGTACGAGCCTAAATTGACGCTAGGCATGTTTTCATCTTGATGTAGGGTCCATGGTGTTTGGACTTTTGTTTGCATGAGGTAGAAGGAAGACCGCCTGGGCAGCAGGCAGATCGTGACTTGAACACCGTGACTCGAAACTGCTTTCTGTGACATCAATCCAAGTACTGAGAACTTAAGGTTATTGATGATTTGATGTTCACGAGACTGACACTCGATTTGAGGCCTTGCGACAAGAGGGCGGCCACACCTAGGTAACCACTCGATTTGTAGCACGTGACCTGGCGAGCACGCTAGTCCTAAAGCATTTCTCCCGACGCGTTCCCCGCATCATCGTGTCTGGCGCCGTTTCTGCCCAACGCGACACCTGGGCAGCACCACATCGCATTCACATAGCCAAATCGCACTGAACAGAACAACATGGTCTCTCGGCACCGAACTACCAGGCCATCTGCTAGTCGCCCGTCTGGAGTTTCCACTCCAGCGCGAACTTCCGGTAGCAACCGCAGCGCAGACGTCCTTCCACCGTACAAGAAGCCATCGCATCCCCTCGATACCGAAGCGACGCGAGCCCTGAGGGAACTACAAGGTCGCAATATCAATGACATCAAGAGGCACAATAAGCAGGCTACCGAGCATGTCACCAGTACAGCGGCAAACATCAACGACATGCTACGCGACCATGCTGGGTATATCGAGCGACGGCAGAAGAAGTGGGACGTGGGCAAGAGTTTGGACGACAAAGACGAAGAAGAAAGTATCATGGCAGAGCTCCAGACCAACGTGGATGGGGCTACCACCAAGCTGGAAGAGAGCATGCGCGCTGTCATCGACTCGGGTGTCGCCGCGCAGCGCATCGAGGAAGCGCTGGAGTGGTTAAGGAACACTGCGCCCGGGCGGTCGGCAGACGAATATCGGACCCAGATGACACAGCGGGAGACACAAAGGCAAACACAGACTCAGGCGGCGAGCCAGCGGGCACAGAACGAGGGTGACGACGAGGAGATGGACGACAGACCTACGCCCGGTCCTACACCCCTTGACGGCTCTCGCGTAGCTCTCACAGGCGCAAGTGAGCTGTTTGCGGATCGTATGCAGCGCGACAAGGATGCATACACGTCACTCTCCTACACAGCGCGCTATGCACGCAACAACGATTACCGCGAGTTCAAGCGCACGGTACACGATGCCAAGTATGGCGACGAGGGTCCCACACTTGGTCATGAAGACACATGGTTCAATGAGTCCGGGTCCCCAGCGCCTGGCATTACGGACACACGCCGAGGCGACCTCGACGACGACGATGACATCGTAGTAGACAAAGCGACCATCAGCACGAGGTGCCCCATCACATACCAGCAGTTCAAGGACCCCTACACAAGCACAAAGTGTCCTCATACCTTCGAGAAGAATGCCGTTCTCGATATGATTCGATCGGGCGGTCACAGGGTGGACGGTCAGAGAGCCATTGAGTGCCCAGTAAATGGTTGCTCACAGGTAAGTCTATCCCCCGCATCTGAATATTCTCAGAGACCTATGCTGACACTGCTTCTTAGTTGCTGACCAAAGACGACGTGCGCAAGGACACCATTATCGCTCGCAGAATCAAGCGCATGCTAGCAGCTGAACTTGAAGGTGACGACTCCGACGAAGAGGTGCAAGCATCTCGTGAGGCTCAACAAGTCGATGGGAGCGACGATCTATCTGGATCGGCTTCGAGACTGCAGGTTCCGGGGACTCAACAGCCGCCAGAGTCAAGCATTATCGAGGACCTCGGATCTCCGAGCGATAGCGAGATGTCGGTTTAGCCTATGCACGATGGGAATGGCGTTTCGGTTTCGGACGGGCTCAATGATACCCAAAGATGGAAAGACATAGTTGAATCCAGCGGAATATGTTGAGACAACAGACAGGCCGCGCAATCTATGCGCAATAGTACTTGTCCCGTAGTCAGGCATCAATCCTCTCAACAGCACCTGCGCAACTCTTTCGTTTCTTCTGCAAGCGTTCAGACCGGCCGGGCGCCTCCACATTCCCGACCCTGTGCCGAAAACTAGCTGACCTACCATTCACCCACGGACATTGTATCGGCCTAGATCTGGTGCCCTGCATGACATTTCGCTACAATATTCTTCCGCTCACAAAGTAGTTCACAGCCTGTCGTCACTCAGAATGTCTTCGGCCGCGGATACCTTCGGGTCACTGGTGGTTGCAACTTCAACCGCGCACCTGGGCGAAAGGCCTCAGCACCGCCCCGTCCAGCACTGAGGACCCTGGATCTCGCCCAAAAAGAAAGCGATCTCGCCAGTTCATTCCGATCTGCGACACGGCGGTATATGAATACCCAACGAATGAAAAGCAACGTGCGTACACGCACGTCGGGTTGGAACGACGCACGGATGCACGTTGTGCGCGCGGAAACCGCAGTCTCATCCGGAAAAGCACAGTGAGGTCACTGCACCAAGTAACAGGGTACCGCAACCAAAACGTGGTGTACTGCAGCACAGGTCCGCTCACAGTATTGTCCATGACATGTGACAGGATGCGCTGCGTTGAAGTTGCGATCGTTCGATTGGCCGAAGGCTGCCGTTACAACAAACGTCATCGCTCACATGCAAGCGGTTCCGCATGTGGCGCACTGGAAACGGGATACTCTGTGCCTGAAGATCGTGTGTTACTCGAGCAAGACATTGCGCAATGGTATGAGAGCCTCAACGGTGCAAGGGAGACCGGATGGCATGGACACGCGACATCAATGCGCCCAGCTCGTCCCGCTCCGCCGTGCACGTTAAACTTCAACATGGGAGCCTGTGAAGTAAGAATGGCATCAGAGTTCCAGAAATCAGCGTAACCCGATTGGCCCAACAGCGATTGGCATCAGGTAGGACGAGCAGCAGTTCATATCAGTGGCTCGCTGGGGCAGCTCTGCGATGCGGGGAAACGCAGCCCACCCCTCAGTTCATGGCACCGGTCGACTGGCTGGGCCTGTTGACAACTAAGAACAACAGATCATCGTGCTGCTTTTGTCCTCCGAGCCTCTTCACTCACAGCCTCGTCCATAACTCTATCTCCTCTGCTACTTCAATCCAAGTTGCATCGTCGCATAGTCGTTTGATGCTAGGAAGCGGGTAGTCGAGCGCATACCACCCTACCCACTAAACCCGCGACCCACACCCCACTTCTCCGACGCGGACTGGATCCTCCGCACAGACGTCAACGCACGAGGTACGCACCCAACGTCCCATCTTCCTCTTCACCGTCTTTGAGCATCCACAATGCGATCGCCGCGGGTGCAGTCGGAAAGATAAGGGTTATCGCACGTGCGCACGCCTTCGGAAATGCACACATGTCCGATGACATTCTTTCCTGTGCGCCGAGCGAAGCTGTACATCTAGATCGTAGCCGGCTAGCTTGCGACGTCCACGGCCGCGGTGTAAGGCGCGTGGGAACTGCGTCTCAGGCTGAGGCTCTGCCAACACCTCACGGACGCACGTCGTAGTGCTATGCTGCTGGGATATAGACCCGGCCATGGAGTCTCTTTTGTGGGCTTTCTTACTTTCTTAGTTACAGTCTTTCTTCACATTTGGTCTATTTCCAGTACAGCATAGCGACAGCGATATACCCCACAGATCTTCCTTTCCTGCATTATCTATTCACATAACAAGACTGCGCAAGCTGTCACTGACAACGCAATGTCGACAACAGCAGCCGCCACTTCGCAAACCCTTAAGATGCCCGCCGCACGCGCTCTCGAGAACGCAAAGCAATCTTCAGAAGCTGTTCTAAGCGACGCATCCTCCGCCATGTCCAAAGCCGCCGAGAACCCCAAGAAGGCCACCGCCGACTTCCTACATACACCCTTCATGCGCGCGGCACTGCCCTTCGTAAACGGCGGCATCGCAGGCATGACAGCAACAACCGTGATCCAACCCGTAGACATGGTTAAAGTGCGCCTACAACTCGCCGGGGAAGGAGTAAAGACCGGCCCTAAGCCAACCCCCGTCACAGTCTTCCGCGACATCATCGCCCAAGGCAAAGTGCTAGACCTCTACACCGGCCTCAGCGCGGGAATCCTGCGCCAAGCCGTCTACACAACCGCGCGCCTAGGCTTCTTCGACACATTCATGAAGAAACTAAGCGCGCGCGCCAAGGAAAACGGCACAGCCATCGGCTTCAAAGAGCGCGCAGGCGCGGGTCTAGCTGCAGGAGGTCTCGCCGCCATCGTCGGCAACCCGGCCGACCTCGCCCTCATCCGCATGCAATCCGACGGCCTAAAACCCGTCGCGCAACGCGCAAACTACACCTCCGTCATCGACGCCCTCGTCCGCATCAGCAAGCAAGAAGGCGTCACACGGTTATGGGCCGGCAGCTACCCGACCGTCGTCCGCGCCATGGCCCTCAACTTTGGCCAATTAGCCTTCTTCTCTGAAGCCAAACAGCAGCTCAAGAACACGTCTTTGTCGTCGCGCACACAGACTCTTACTGCATCGGCGGTTGCGGGCTTCTTTGCGTCATTCCTGTCGTTGCCGTTTGACTTTATGAAGACGAGGTTGCAGAAGCAGACGAAGGGGCCGGATGGCACCATGCCTTATAAGGGCATGTTTGATTGCTTCAGGAAGGTTGCGAAGGAGGAGGGTCTGTTGAGGTTTTACCGTGGCTTTGGGACGTACTATGTCCGTATTGCGCCGCATGCGTAAGTTTTTGTCCTTTGGCTTGATGTGAGGGTATGTGCTAACGAGAGTGATAGGATGGTGACGCTTATTGTTGCCGATTACTTGGGCTTCATCACGAAATAAGAGTGATGAAATGAATTCTTGCTTTTGATGGGGTTGAGGCGTTGGGAGTGAGGGTTTCATGGCGTTTACACGTGGCTGCTATCGCCATTGATGTTGTCTCGGCATTGTCTTCTTTTATTTGGGTCCAGAGCGCTGTACGCGCTGTTCCTTCTGGTTCCCAATCGCCTGTGTGGGCAGCAAATAATGTCATCACGTTTCGCGGTGCTCGTGCACATGCAGATACTACAAGTCTTGATCTGCTACCACTTACCGCTTTATCCAATGTGACAGTGCTACGTCTTGCGCATTCACCACCTAGAGGCCTCATATTCGGCAATCACAACGCGGGTGTCTTCTCTACAGACCTTGTTCCACTGCATGTAGCTAGCCGCACACCCTAAATCTTATCTCGTCTTGGGAGTCTCGTGCAGAAGCGTGAAGGCTGCAAAAAGGGATGGATACTGCATCTTTTGCATCGCATCTGCGTGCAACGCAGGAGTGATTGCACAATGAGTATATATCGTGGGAACAGGTAATGGGGACGACCTCTGGGCTTTTGACTGAACAAAAGATCCTATATGGCTACCTGGGCTCGATGGCCGAGTTTACAAAGCCTCTTGCAGTGATTCGGTTTCAGCTATTCAGTAACGACATAGCCAGTCGCTGGCCCACTGTCCACGCTAGACCCTCAGCGTATCTGAGCCGCGCTGAGATCTGCAGCAACGCAAGCTCTGTCGCAATAGCGATGTGAAATAGTGTATACAAGGCTCGGGTGAAACAGGGTCCAGGCGCCTGCGCTCAAGAGGTTAGCGCAGGTATGTGGTACCTCGGCCTACGCAGATTGGTCGCCTGAAAATGTGGGGCTCAAGCCCCTATCGCCGAGCTCCCGACCTCAGACTTCATCTCTAATGTTCTTCCAGGACGTGTTCCCAACTCAGCAGCGCCCTTGGAAATGCAGATACAAACAATGACATCACGTGGCATCAAGGCAGTAGGATGGTAGCGACAGCATGTATGTTTGTACGCACACGACGTATGTAAGTTCCAATGTGGCCCACCGACCAACCAAAAGAAATCCTAGCAGCAATCCGAGTGGAAAGCCTTCAATCTTCCTGTCCCCATTGTGTGAGGCCGAAGCCTTAGACTCCCCACTTCTCAATCTTCTTGTAAGACTTGTGCAAAACCGTCGCGGCCCGCCTTGCAACGCTGGTGCGCTTCACCACACTGACAGCGTCCTCGTCAACATCAACGCAGCCCGAGCTACCGACGGTCTCGGGTGAACAAAGCGGAGTAAGAGTCTTTGTGCTCATGTCGCAGAACTGATCGTCGGATCCAATGAAGTCGGGGCCCCACGATGTGGCAGAGTTGCAGAGGTCCGCGGCTGTTTGGCTGGTCCAGTTGGAGACGATGAGGTACTCGTGCATCCATGTAGGGTGTTCAGGGATGCTTCGTTTGGCGGGTTGCGCTGTAGAAGAGGGTTAGTTTGATCATTTTGTATATGCGGGCATGGACACACATACCTGCAATTGGTCCACTGTCTCCTCTATAGATGGTCGAATCGCATGTCTTCTCCTCGTCAGCGACCTCCTGGACACTGCTAGCATAAGCATTGGTAGTGAACTTGAGTGCTGCGTTCACGATATCGTTTGTTTCGTCTGCAGAGGTAGACGTCCGAAGTCAGTATATGTCTCACATGCCTCCGTAGTCAGAACTCACCTTTGTCGAGCCAAGTACACGCGGGGACGTATGGCTTTGAGCTGTCTTTGAGATTGCCTGCAGACTCCCTGCTGTTATACCACCTCTCGCCACAGTGGCGGCCAATGTCGCCAGTCCAAGCCCCTCCATCCGTATCGTCAGCTTGGTTGACGCTGATCCAGGCGATGCAAGTGGCATCATCGTTGTTGGACACGCCAATGTACTCCGCTCGCCGACCCGAGCCTTGGTCTACGGTCACATCGCAGAAGCTGCCAGGATCAATCCCACAACCGCCTGCCTGCCCGCTGAAGCGATTGCCTTCGCCCCACGCGTACACTGCGGCGATCGACCCACCCTAGAGTCTTCTTAGTCTTCGCCAGTCTTTTGGAGAGAATGTTGTGGGCGCAATTTACCAGACTTTCAGACTCTTCGCCCACTCCGTGAAGGCCGGCTAGAAAGTATACCCGGTTAGCGGTGGAGTCTTCGATACTACTTTGAACTGTATCCTACCTTTGATCCTGATGCTTGGGCCCTGGGGCTTATTGTCGGGTAGTTGGGATTCGGTAAAGGATACGATTGTCAAAGCACCGCTGACAAGGCCAATTGCGTTGAAGAAGCCAGACATCTTGAGCTTGATGATGTTTTGCGCGTGTGAATATGATATTGATGAGTAGTGAATGAGACTTGCAAGCAGTGATGGGGTCGGAGGCATATCAATATATAGGATTGTTTCCAGAAGCGAGCAGTATCTGACGGCGGATTTTGTCGACAACCCACGTGTGTCCGCATGCTGCCATGATGGTATCATGGTGCACGTAATCGCACGCAGCCAAGGGTATACCTGTAAGCATATTGATTGAAGTGGTACGAGGTTGACTGTGCCTCCGGCAAGCTCGGTGTATAATCACACATGGATTGGGCAATTACCTAGGTAACTGTTGAGTGAAATGTATTCCTGGCGCCTAAGTGCATAACAGAACTCCACGTGCTCGCTTCCAGCGGATGAATAGCTCGGTTACAGCTCAACAGAAACGTATCTCAATGGATCTAAGACCTTGGAAGTATTGGTTGTGGCGGGGTCAGGTCATGGGACGCGTGCTGTTGTGGTGTACACGAAGTTGTATAAGGACATCGTCTTCGAAGCGGCTGGTGCAGAGCATCAGTTCCGCAACATCTCAGCCAATTCCAGAAGTCGATTCCACAACCTTCACTTTCGATCAACATGAAACTCTCTATCAGCCTGGTTGGCATCTTCCTCACAAGTGCTTTCGCACTTTCGGTCAAACGACAGAACGGAGTTCCCGACTGCATCGACGGCGATAGATCCGGAGTGGGCGATTCATTTGGATCCAGTGAGTTCAAGCAGCCTGGCGTGGATCTTTACTATTCAGTGATATGATCTGACATGTACGCATAGAGCCTGACTGCGAGGACGAGTGTTTCATGCCTGAGCAGTCTGGGGATGGGGTGGAGCAGATCTGCCGAGGCTATTGCACCACGTTCCCAGTAGTCACTGGGCCGCTGGTGTGGAACTGCATGGGCTCACAGTGAGGTTGTTTGGATGAGTGTTCGAGCTTGAAGAAGCGTACGTAGTAGCATCTTCAACTGTGTCGAGCGGCAGATCAGTTTCGACGTGATTGCGTCTATGAAGAATTACCTTGAATCGACCCACTATCTTGACTCCGCTTTCATAACTCGTATGTGATACTCTTACGGTACCTTCTACCCGCTCATACAGTACTTCGGGCTAGCAGATGTCTCGGCATCTGCTTCCAAAGTATCCATCTGGACACACTACCAAGCCAAGAAGCATCACCGGCATGCCATACAGCATCTCCGATGCAGTGTAGTCAAGGATATACAGCGATCCTTACTTGGTGTGTTGATAAAGTCACAAGATATCGTCATATTGCCGATGGGTCTGTCACCAAGAGACATTGTGTCACCAAGATCATCTTCCGCCAAGACCGTCCTCCGCCAGATGTCATCTTCTCGAGCTAGAATAGATGCGATAACTTCTTCATATCATGCCTGAGAAGCTTAATGCATGCAATGCGGCTACAGCCCGGGTAGTTCGACTAGAGTCGGCAACGTTGCATCTGCCACAAACGGACACAAAGTTGTCACTGGAGTACGAAGTAAGCCAAGATGAAAAGAGCGGCATGATTCATAGTTGAAGATCCTGCCCTCATATTAACAAGGGCATCATCCTTCCCACGGCCCACAGCCGAGATAGTAGTTACACGGAGCCACTCCACAGTGAAAGGAATATGTTGAGTGCCGAGGTGTCTATCACCACTCAACTTCTATTGCATACCCAGGCAGGTACGCCTTCACCGGGGCACTCTACAGCACGAGTACCTACCTAGGTAGGTACGTATCCGGTTGGGTACCAATTCGAAGAGTCCGCAGTCAAGAGACAGATACTTAGATACCCTTCGTGATGAACGTTACAAGATGACGTCGGCCTTCGGCTTCAGCCGAAGGCCGTACATACGATCCGAGCCAACGGCAACGCTCGTGGGCGTGCCGGCCCGGTTATGCAGCGCGCGATATCAGTGGCTATCACACCCATTGGCACTTTCTCTTGGGCTCATCTTGGCCCTTTACCAAGATGGATAAGTCGGCAGGTGCCTTCAGTTTTATGCAGTTGGGGATAGAGCCGTCGGGCGTGATTAATTGGAAGGTGTGATTGGAGCTGCCAAGCCTCGTGACACAGCGCCTAGCGAACTGTGCCACATAAGCATCTTGGCCCGCGGGGCGAGCGGGAGCTTGGCGACCTCGGGATGCATTCCGTAGCTTGGCACCACGCCACATCATAGTGGACGGCAGTAGAGCATTGCTGAAACGGGCATTCCAACTTAACCGGGCGCCGTCCTACGGATATCGGCTCATGCATGATGCCCAGGTGTGGTTGCAATCTAATGAGCGGAGTATCCGGTGGATGAGGACGATTTTACCCGTGGACGCAGTCGACTTGGCAGACTGCAACCCTATCATGCTAGGCCTCCCCAAAGAAACATGGCATCTGGATGAGGGCTTCGGAGCTTCTCTACTCTCTGTTGCACAAACGTTCAGCTTGTTTGCAGGCTATCGTTTACTGATAACAACGCCCCGAAATCATCACGCGCACAAGACTACCTGGACATACATCGCCTGGGCATCCCTTCGCGATGCAGTTCCTAAATACCTGTAGACTGGCATCAGTCGCTCTACTGTTGTATCCTTTCAAAGTACAAAGGTACGTGTCACCTACCGTCCGCATCTGTTGAACTCGTCGACTTATTCTCCGCAGTGCCGCCAATTTGACCTTGCGCTTCTTCACGGAGAGCCAAGATGACACCTGCTCTTTCCGCAACAGCAGTGAAGCCCTGACGTTTACCTCATCGAGCATTCCCACCATGGATCATTGCTTCAACCTAGAAGATATCTTCGGCGGAAACACCACCCAAGGTTTCGTCAACCAAAGCGCCTACCCACCCTTCTCAGCCACGGCAGGCATCAACTGGTCGGTAGAGAACGCCGCATTATACAACCCCCAAGCGAACTACACCAATGTTCTCTACCACCTACACGTGCCAGGAGCCAAAGCAGCCGAACAGTACGCAGATCGCCGCGTGAACATTTACCCTGCTAAAGACTGTTACAACGCGGACCCGAACAGCGACGCCACCATGCCACCACTACTTCCCTGGTATGGCTACGACTGCGTCAGTGACAGAGATGGAAACTGCGGCAGGATCGAGTATGATGTCCGCAGCTTCTACCTCCTACCAGGCACAAGGGAAAGGGATCAGTCAGGCCGATGTTTATTGTCTGCGAAATGGGGTGCTGCCTCGAGTATTTACTCGTCTTCTCGTGTCATTTTAGGCGCCGCTTTGAGCGCGTCTCTGGCCATCTGGTATGCCTGGTAGTCATGATAGTCCTGTGTTAGTTTTGTACTTGACAAGCAGTCGCCTACATGAACGCCTTTCGTTGAACTGTAGATCGTATCCAAAACTATTTATACCTGTACATGGACTATGGAATGTGTTCCAAACTATATCACATGTTCGCCGACGCTACCGTCACTAGCCACCTCGTTAACAATACCACTTTTGAGTGTATCATCCTACCTTCTTCTTTCTCATCCTCTCCTTCCTCATGTATTGCCACACCCAACGACACGCAGTGTAAAACCCACACCTAGACCATCATGATAGGACCCCAAGATCTCATGAAATGCAGCGCCCCCGTACTCCGCAAGCACTGCATCAGCCAGCGAGCGACACCGCAGAGCCACATAGGCAGACAAGGGAGCACAGAACAGGACAAGCAAAGCAAACAGCACGGAGAAGATCGAACTGTGCGCAACTCCCGCAACTTCAACGCTCTCGTGAGACAAAGTGATGCTTAAAAGACAAACGAATAGTGACAATATAGGAAGCGGGACCATGATTGACACCATCTGAATGGACGGCCCAACAAGGTGCGCTCCACACTGTGACTACCCGACGTAACTGGAAAGTCACTATCGCCTCATGTGTACTGAAGATGGTGGGGCCCGTCCTTCCACGACCTCAGTGCAGAAGCGGCATGCCTTCAGCATGACAATATAATGTGGTCGGCGAAGCTGGTCTCGCCGCCCACATATACCAGAAACGTTCCAAGATACCATCTCTCGATTAGCAAGCACGCGAGCGAGCATACCGGGGTAAGCAGCCACGAATATCATACCAAGTGCTACAGCCATCACATTCAGCGATCCCTCAATACACCAAGCTACACCCCCACACATCTCATCCACTGACCCCCTCCATCTCCAAATCACACCCGGAGGCAACATGCCCTCACCTCCTCCCACCACCAATATCCTGGCCCAACCTATACCCACTAATCTTCTCCCACTCAATCTTCTGCCTCGTAATCGGCAACTGCCTCCTCAGCGCCTTGAAAGCACCCTCACTCAGACTACCAAACGCCCTGTTAAGATCCTCCTGATACTTCTTCTCCTCAGCAGCAATCTTCCTCACAACCTCGCTTCCGTTCGCACTGGCCCCCGCACTGAGACTCACCTCCTTGGTCGTAAGCAGACGCACGTTCCCGTCTTCGTAGTAGTGCACGTCGACTTTTATGCTGCCGGTGATGGAGCCGGAGGACGTGTCGTAGATGTAGGAGCTGCGCCAGCGGCCGTTCCAGTAGTTTGTGGGGGAGTACTTGTTTGCGACCGTGATGATGGCGAGGGAGGAGGGGGAGGAGGGCACGGGGTATACGCCGTGAGAAGACTTGGGGTAGTGTTCTGAGGCGTGGGTGCTGAGGGACTTGTTCAGGCTCTTGCTGTTGGGGTGAGGTTAGGTTAAGCTTTTATGCGGCATGGGTGTGTTGGTAGCCAATGGGTGTGCACGAGGGATGCGCGCGGGATTGGCTTGGCGAGGGAGGGGCGGGGCGGAACGTACAGGAGCTCTTCTTGTGCGCTTTCTACGACGTAGCTCTGCATAGCGCTGGCTTTGCCCGTGGCGTGGTCAAAGTCAAAGGAGCTTTGTGTGTCGATGTCGTAGTAGCGGCCGTCGCCTAATGAGTTGTACTGGCTGACTAGGACCTCGGTGCTGCCGCCGGGGAGCTTCGTGGTGGTGAATTGCTCCTCGTTGTACTTTTGGAAGGCAGGCGAGAGCTCATTTTGGACGGCGTCGTCGCCGAGGATTGACTTGATTGCCTTGGTGACATCGGCGAGCTGTGTTGTTGTTAGCAGGTGTACCGGTGGGAGGGGAGCTCTGTTTTGGTGGGGGAAGTACCTCGCCAGGCGGCGCGCTGTCGATGAAGGAGGAGAGAGCTGCTGTGCGTGACATAGCGACGATTTGACTATGTAGCAGAGGGCGGGTATGCTTCTGTGGTTGTCTCAATTGTTTGGCGCGTCGTGGAGTTGCGGGCGGACGTCGAGGCGCGCAGCCGCTTAGTGGGGCAAGGGCCAGCAGGGCGAACAGGGGTCAAACATCCATGTGCCCATAGTCGATTGCGGAGGAAGCTACATCAACAATGCAATACACGCAGACGATATTCGCAGTTCTTGTTTCATATTTGAATTGGGAAATTGACAATGGGTATCTATATGTATCGAGCAACCATCGTTGGCCTCATTAACCCTGGAACGCCGCGCTAAGCCTTGATCAATGCTAATATTATCTTACAAGAAGTCACATATGGCCATCACTCGATGCTCATTTTCATCAAGCCGTCGTTCGTATCTGTCATGCCCTGCAGACCTATCCGCTTTGGGCCCAGTGTCGGCGTCATGCTCATGCTGCCTCCACTGTTTGAACGCTCACCGTGTGACTGACCGCTGATCGATGTCTCCCGACTGGCTTTGGGATTCGTGCCCCAAAGACTGCTGTCCCTCTGTGCGGGCGACTGCGAGATGACCGGGCTGTTGTGAACACTGAGGCCTGGGGAGACAGCACGCCGTTTGATCGAAGCTTCGTCAAAGTCGTCGTCTCGTCGGCGTTTGTTCGACTTCTTCAACGCCTCAGCCGCTGTGGGAGGCTGCATAGGACCTGGTGTAGATGCTCGAGATGCTCCGCCATTCATAGAAGGCGAGTCCATGTTCATGTCCTCGCTCATTGCGGATGACTCTGCGCGAGGGAAGGATGGCGGTGGAGTATGTGCGGCGCGTTGGTTCCAGAATCCGTTGCTTATCGAGTTGCGACCACTGTGAAGACTACCAAATGCACCGAAAAGTCCCTTAGACGTTGATCCGTCCAGACTCATGTTGCTCTCGCTGCCCTCTTCCGGCACACCCTCGAGCGGACCGTCCAGCCCGGGTACTGTGGGTAGTAGATTGGGCGATGATTGTGCGGTATTAGAGGGCCGCTCCAGATCCGTGTCGCTCTCTCTCACTTGTCGGATGATCTCGGCTTCGCGGCGGAACTCGCTATCAACAGGTGCGGCTTCTTCGAAGAGCTCCGCTCGGATGCGACCGAATTGCCTCGATTTGGGCTAGTGAAGTTAGCATCTGACGTCTGCGTGACAACGGAAGTACATACCAGTAGATTGCCTCTCCGTGTGACAACCCGCCTCACCACACCTGGAGTCTGGGGCAGATTACCGCCCTCATCTCCGCTGTCATTACCAGACGAGATGTGAAGGTCGTTGGCAAAGAGCGACAGGCTCTCTCGTCGCGATCCCGCTTTCCGCATAGCCGCTTCTCGCGCAAAGTAACCAGTGTCTTTGCCGTTTGGCGGCGATGCTGGTCCAGGGCTTGCCATGGAGCTGTGTCCGCTGGCCGAGCTCGAGCTCTTCCGGCTGCGACCCTTGCGCAACCTCGCCCTATGCATGCTCGCAAAGTTGGGCTGTCCACCAGGCGAGAACAAGTTCGACCACGCGTTACCGGTATTGAGTCCTGGGAAGAGAGTGTTGGTCTTCGCCTGCGGAGTCATGATCATGGGGTCGTCGTTGTCCTCAGGGTCCAGTGGATCCACCTCGTCCGAAGAGCTGCTAGAGTCCTCCGAGCCCATCATGTTGATGCTGCCGACTGAACTGGACGGGGCGGTTCTATCGCCATGGCTCCAGCCTCCTTGCATGCTCACATTGGGCGAGTCAAGCAGCATCGAGTTGGAGCGAGGCTTCCGCGGCGGTATCTTGATGCCCTTCTGCGTTATCGTCGGCGAGGAATCCGGCGAGGATTGGTCGGGGAGCGTCGAGTGGTGCAGGTTGGTGCAGGCTCTCGAGAACTCGGCACCGCGCGACCGTCGGGGCAGCACAGAGGCAGGCGACGCGTAGGTGTTGCGCGAATCTAGCTGGGGCGAGAGGGGCACACGGGCAGCGAAGTGGGCGGGACTGGGCATGGGCGACTCTCGCGCAGGCATTTGCAGCGACAGGCCTCGCGAGAGGAAGTCGGGTCGACGCGGTGTGCTGGGGCTGGCGACGATGGTCTGATCATCTTTGGACATGCGAGCGGGTTCGCGGAATTTCGGAGAGGGCTCAAGACGGGGCGTGCTGTCCGAGAGCGACCGTGCTTTGGGCGAATTCGTCTTTGACGGCGTGGTCGCCAGTTGAGGTTGCGACTCCATCATGCCTCCCTCGCCCTGTTCGGCGGTACTGCGCTCGCTACCGATGTCTGGCGTCATCGTCAACATTGAGGTGGAAGGTTGATATGACAGGAAGCGACCTGAAACGCATTCTTTAAGCAGCGCGCTGTGATCAGAGTCAATTTGTCGGGACTGGTGAATGGCCCGTCCGTTGAACGTCAATGTCACGAAGCGGGGCCTCTCGTCACGTGCAAGCCACCGTCATGGGTGAACCATGCTGTGAGGCTTTACCTACAACCACGCTCTCTGAACATCTCTGAAATTGAAACTTTTGTAGCACAGGCTGTATGCGTCAACTGTAGTACTATACGAAACGTATTAACAACTTCCATACGCCTTCGGTATGATGTTGATCAGGACGCGTAGGTCACCCATAGATCACCCGTGCCTTCGTACCCCTGAACACTCTTTTCATGCTATTGCTAAGAGTCCACAATTCCTTGCACCCACTCAATGTCCTCCCAAGTTGCTTCCCAGATGTTGAGGACTGTCATTGTCCATTCCTTATCCTCGCGCTTCATGGTGCCAATGCAGCGGCAGATCCGCCCTTGCTGTAACAGTCTTCTGCTGTCGTACTCGGAGAGCTGCACCGACTTCCAGATAGCAGCATTATACACTGCCTTGATGTAAGGTGGCTTGGCGTGGAAGAGGTCGCAGAAGGTGAACTGCTGTTCTGTACTAGTCCGCTCAGAAGTAAGCACTCTGGCATACATCTCAATCATGATGTGCTTCCCTGATTTGGATGCCTGACAGCTTTGGTTAATCACTTCACCGATGCGGAAACATGTCCTGAGCAGTAGGTTTGACGAAAGACCGATGATGGGTGAGCGATCACGGACAGCCTCTGGAAATGGTGGCCTGACAAATGGTTTGCGTATCTTCGATGAACCTAGATTGCCAGTTGCGGCTTGCAGGCGCGTCGTGAGAGTGACCGGGGAAGTGAATTGCTTTGACACGGGCTGACAGGTCTTCTTGTCAGGACTTCCATCAAGTATGATAGGGGCATCCGCACAGGTGCCGGGAGGGTGACGCAGTCTGTCATCGTCCCTATCCCCGGGCTGCACAGAGCGGTTCAAAGCAGCATTTGCAAGGTCAGGACATGCGTCGTCAATCTCGGATGTCAATGTGAGCAGGTCATCATCGTTGATGTCAAAGTCGAAGTCGTCTTGCGCAAGCATCGAGTTCTCAATCTGAAGTGGTGCGAGGGGAGCATCAAGTTGTTCAGGTTCACTGGTATCAAAGTCGTTATCGTCGAAATCAACCTCGCAGAGTGCGGCCGGATACTGCACAGGCAATGCGGCTACTGTATCTTGGCTAACATTTCGTATGGTTTCAGGACTCGCGAAACCATAATCTGTCACATTGCAGGCTTGACTGAGGTGGTCCTGGTGTGAAACCGCCGTTCCGTTGCCGGTTGTTGTCGATCGTGGTGTTTGCGCATCGTCAACAAATATTGACTGCGGCGTTGTCGTCGATAGTGAAGCCTTAGATCTAGAGGCTGCGGAATTGCGTGCAGGCTTCTTTGTCCGAAAGCTCTCCGACACACGAGGTTGATCGGAAAGTCCGTTTCCTTCCGGATTCACACGTCTGCCATCTGATGTGTTCCCTTGGACGGCCAACCGAGGCCGCTTGCGTCGAGGTTTTGGAGGCGGGCTACGCGGCAATGCCGGCGAAGGAGCATGTCTCTCGAGATGCGTTGGCTCGTCCGCGTCACCAAAACCAAGATAGCGCGCGACAGTAGAATTGTGTCGACGTCGCTCGTGCACGGCGGCTCTCCGGCGCGCCTGGTTCTGCTGGACGGGTGCCGCGGTTGACGAGGGAGGCGTCGAAAACTGCGTCGAGGGCTGATTGATGGCCGTGAAACTAGAAGTTGACAAGCGAATGTGAGTGCATCTGCATACTTCAAGTTAGTTCAAGCGATATGAGATAAAAGCAACGTGTGGTGAGAAAAGGTGGGTGAGCGCGCGTCGGGCTTCTCACGCGTCATCACCAGTTCGTTCTCTCGTTGTCCCCGTGTCCCCGTCGTGATGCAGCGCGTTTGGTGCATCCATGCTGACTCTATCCGTGAAGCGACATGGAATGGAAGCGGAGTGAGAGATGAGTTGAAGAAGGTTGATGTGGTGGGTCGCGACTTCCATGATCCCTTACTCAGCCCAAAGCCACCCCACTGCGGGGGGCTTGCGCCCGACCAAGCAACCATAGCTTCATCTTATCGCGTGCGCATAGGCAACCATTACTACTTAGACTTCCGCTACGAAGCTCTGCCACCAGCTCTGACTTCCTGCAAACTTTGCACCACTCGTCAACACATGTTCCGTTGAACCCCGAGTGTTCTATTCTTATCTGTAACACCGGCTCTCTCCTTCCAGACCGACCCTCCGACCTTTCTCAGACCGTGGTGCAAACACCAGACCCTGATTCTGTCCAAATTCGTTCTGACAGCCAAGCAAACATCCTGTTCGGGGCGCTTTCTTTTTCTCGCCTCCCAAATATAGCAGGTCTTACCCTGAAGGGTCAAACGAAGCGACAAACGTACGATGCCTGTAAGTTCTTCTTCAAACTCGTTTCTCCTTAAGAGCGTTCAAATACCATGTTCTCTTCCGCAGCAGCCCCGTTTCATTCATCCTTCAAATCACCATTCCTACCGTAGTCATGATTTCCCACGCTTCTTGGTACGACGGACAACCGCTTCTCTACGGAGAGACGCTTCGTAGAACTTCTTCTTCGTATAGCAGTGCATCTCCTGAACTGCAAGCACTTCCTTTATACCGCAAAAGTCTGTCATTGTCAAGCGATTCGTCAGTCGAGACGTCAATCGAACCCCCTCGCAAAACACTTCACCACCACAAGGACCCTAAAGCATATGCGGACCTTCCGATTTTCGAGAATCCTTGCCCGCTATGCTTCTTTGAACACTGTCACACGGTACTAAGAACATGGATCAAACGTAGAAGCACGCTTTCTCGGCTGTCACGGTCCAGATCGATCGATTGACGAGCGAGCAGTACGAGGAGAATGTAAGTTGTCCTGTCAAGATTGCATGTCTCTTGCTAATTAGTACAGGATGTCGGTGGTGTCGTTGATCTCATCGAGGTCATTCGCATCCAGGCATCTGGTCCTACGGAAGCAGCACGAGCTCTGCGAAAGAAGCTGTAAGCCAGATTCCCGCGCAACCACAATATGCACTAACAAGTCGGCAGCAAGTATGGCAATGTGCATCGCCAGATCCGCGCCCTTGTCATAATGGACGCTCTGATTCAGAATGCTGGAACCAGATTCCAGAAAGCGTTCGCAGATGAGCCACTTCTCGAGAGACTCCGCATCCTGGCAAGGGACGACACAGTCGATGCGGAAGTACGGCAGAAGGCCAACGTTTTTTTCCGAAGTTGGGCTGTCGCATACAAGGGAACGCCAGGCCTTGAGCGGATAGCTGCACTACACAAAGAACTTCCTCGTACCAAACGTCCTCAGCCACAACAATCTCGGATTGTGCGACAGCAAGATGCCGAAGCTGCGCGCGAGCGTGAGGAGCATTCGCAGTCTCCTCCTAGAAGCAGGCGACCGGAGCCACCCCATACGTCATCTTCACGGACGACCACACCTGTTGTACTCGGTGCTGGTACCCCTCTTCCAACCACTTCGCTATTCAAGAGGGATAAGAAAGACAAGAAGAAGACCAAGGGGCAGCCGTTCAACCTGGAAAAGGAGAAGGGTCAGATGCTTGAGACGATGGCATCGGCAAACGTCGCCAGTACGAATCTGCTGAACGGCCTACAACTCATCAACCGAGAGCAACAGCGTGTCAGTGAGAACGCAGAAGTTATGCGACGCTTCGAGACGTGCAAGCAACTGCGTCGCCAGATCTTGCGCTACATTCACCTGGTCGAGTCTGAGCAGTACATTGGCGGTCTTCTCAACGCCAACGACGAGCTAGTCAAGGGCCTCATGGCCTTCGAGCTTATGGACAAGAGCATCGACGACGACAGCGATAGTGATAACGAGGAAGGCAACGTGTCTGCTGCTGAAGCTGCGATGGGTAATATGGGTCTGAATGAGTCTGCCCCTCCGAAGCCGCCTAGGCCCACGAGCATCCCCATGCCTCCACAGCGCGTCGAGCCAGACAGTGAGCCGGAGGAGGATGAGGATGACCCGTTCGGAGACAGTAATGGTAAGACTACTGCAAACATCTCTTTCTCCTCTAGCTAACACGCCACAGCCGTCAAAACACCCTTCGCAGAGAAGGGCCAACCGACCTGGAGGGACGTCTAAGCTATCAAAGACACGATACAGACAGGACCTGCATGTTCAAGGCGAGGCACGGTGTTGGGCTTTCCTCATCTCATGTTTAGCAATACCCTTTCCTACCGCTCCACCATCTAGATAGATCTCAATACAACATTTCCACACCATCTGCCATGCATTTCCATCTTCTGCATGCCCCGCGCGCGCCTCTGACCGAACGCGCGGCATTAGCCACGTTCACTGCCACGCGGGCGACGTCATGCAGCCCCTAGCGTCGGCCTGTCATTGGCCTAGCGCCACGCGCAGCATTGAAGCAGGGCTGGATGCCCTCTGCGACCGTATTAATCTCCCCTTTGCCTCCTCGATACCACTGCCTACTAACTCACAACAAACCTCAACTTTCACGCACCTTCATCGCATAAACTGTAAGTTCAGCCCTGATCTCGTGGCTGCGAACACCGCTAACGTTATCGCAGCGCAACTCCGTCATCTCTCTGAACCAACAGTCACGAACCCGCGACCGTCAACCTCCGAGTCATACAACGTCGTAAACCCACTCGGTCGTCGCATATTCATACATCGCAATGCCTGCCTCTACCAACTCTGTCTCTTCGGCCGCCGGCTCGATTGTTAAGCCTCAGGGCGGAAAGTGCAGCTGCATCAGCACCGACGACTGCAGTTGCTGCTGCATTCCTTGCACGGTCATGTAGACGCGACGACAATATGAAGAGCCTCATAAGACTTCGACCGACGGCAGCATATGCGCGTGCCGGAGCGGTGACGGACGGCACGCGTCAGGCGATGGGCACGATAAGGGACGGACGACTGGCATAAGGTGTTTTGGGACATTTTGAGCGGCCTCATTAGGTGTAGCGAAAGCGATAACATGCGCTCAAGGAAATGAGGCTTTGGGGGCTTTGTTTTGGGGTTTGGAGTCTTCTGGAGTGTTGCATTGGATTGATTGCTTTATACCAATACCATACATATATTTCGAATTACACAACACATTCACATTCCAACTCTACATCTGCTTAGCAATCGTAAATGTGCTATGTAAGCTCGTTCCTTGTAAATTGCCTCGCAGCCAACATCGTAGACATGCCTACTATGAGTTGTCAAGATACACCAGCGCCAAGCGGCCCCATCTGAAGCTAGTCCGGCAGCCAGGCAAGCAGGGCTGAAGCATGGCAGTTGTGGCGCGCTGGCGCGATGACATGGCGTCACCCAAGTACGCCCGAAGCCTCTTGCCTTGTAAACCTCATCTCTGACATCTTAACCCCATTCTCACCGTCGCAAACTTCTCCAGATCATATCTTTTCTTGTTGTACATATCGCGTTCTATTTGTAAGTCGGATTGCCATGGTTTGATGCATACGTTCGCTAATGGGTCTGATAGTGCTTGAGACGCCATCCCCCCTTGCGCACATCGAATCCTTCGTCTCCGCCCTTACGACTCCATTCGGTATCGCCTCGTCTCGCATCGCATCGCATTCATCCGCCGCGCAGTCTTCGCCGTAATCAGCAAATATGCCCGCGTCTACAACTTCGAGCACGACGTCTATCGTCAAGCCTGGTCCCGTCAAGGCGCCATGCTGGTGCGGTGACGATTGCCAGTGCTGCGTCATCCCATGCACCGTCATGTAGACTTCGACGATGGATAGAGGGATGATGAACATATATACCAGGGCGCTTCAGGAGTTACTTCGTTTGGATATGTTGTTTGAGCATGCGCTTGGGAAAGAGCTGGATAGGAGGAGGAATGTGACGAGGCACGAATCTCGCATCGCATTGCTTGGTATTTATTGAGCATCTTAGCGTTACGTAGTGTTATGAAATCATGGTATTCTTATGTGCACCTAGTCCCTCATGGCAGATCTTTCACTTTCTCAGTCATTGGAGGATCAAACATCTTCCTTAAGAAATAGCGCAGTCCCGCTACGAAGCCGGCACCGCCATCGAAGACTTACTACCAACTACACAGCTATGCAGGATCTCTTAAATGTGACATTCCGCCAGGAGCTTTTCTCACCCGTTCGCATCGGCGTCACCTCTTGATCACACTCGACGGACCTTCCCCAA